TCCCCCCCCTGCACCGCGGCTGAGGGTGAGCTGAGTATGGCGCGGCAAAAGGGCCAAAACGGGGAGGGGGGATCTCATAGACTGGGAATCTGATATGGAGATCGAACTGCCCCCTCTCCTCTCTCCGTCGTCTCCGCTGGTCCCATCCAGCCCTCCTTCATCCTTGATTTCCTCGTCCAGTCCTGAGGGGGCTTCCTATCCTCTAGTGCCCACTCCTAGAAAGCACCTTCCAAAGCGCCCTCTAGTGCCTGCTCCTAGAAAGCGCCCTCCTGTGGCCGCTCCTCGAAAATGCCCGCCCTCCCACCTGCTCCAGCTTCCTCCACCGCTGTCATCTGGCAGCTCCTCTGCTCGCCCTGAGCCCACCATCATTGTGGTGTGAGCCCCACGGGACTGCCATCCTCCAGCGTCGCCGTGGCTGGCATTGATGGGGCAAAACAGAATTTTGTGTCTGTGTTTATTGTACATTTGCGATCGTGCAGATATTTGGAAAAACAGGACTCTTGTTTGTGTGATAGGCTAACTCCTATATCATAGGCATATGTTATAAAAACAGAAACTCATTTTATTTTTTTTAAATCATAGCTATGTGTGATGGCAGTGAGATGGGAGAGAGCGCTCAAAACTCTTCAGATCGCATAATTTAGTGGAACATTAATATAATATAGAACCATCCTCTGTAAAGTAATGAGGCGTGATCATATGAGAATTTATCATTATCTTTCTAAACGTGCGCTCTTTTGGGCTAAAGGATTAATGGAGCTGTTTAAAGTAGCCATGTGATGACAGATTAATTGGCGCTGTAGCGATTCAATACGTGTGTCCTTCTTCTATGTGAATTAATCATAAATACCAGTTTATGCTGTTTGATTATGGCCTCGAAGGTCGTAGTTGGAAGCTGTTAGCCCCGGCTGGCAGTGGAAATGCAGCTAATAATTTCTGACTGGCATAACTGTACAAATCAAAGAAACGTAAACGGGCAAAGGTGGGGCCCCCTACAAGGGGCTGCATGGGCTGCAGCCCAGTCAAGTCCAAAGGTAAGTCCAGCCATGCATTGTATTCGAGAAAACACTTATTATCTTCTCTCAGAGAGTAAACCAACCAGTAGCTCTACTTCACATACAACATGAGTCATTAAATTACAGCCCAGGAAAATCACATTTCCACACATTCAGCCAGTCATTACAGCAAAATAAACCCCAGCACAGTGTGGAGGTTATTTGTGTGAAACCGAAAGCCTTTATTTTGCAGTAATGACAGGCTGACTGTACATTATAGTGTTTATTACGCAGCTGCAGATTGACCAATCACGATGAAGTATTCCAGAGAGCCGCGTAATAATAGTGAATAAAGCAGTTCGGAGGTACTTACTGTACCTGTCCTCGCTGTTCCCAAAGCGTAATAATTTGTCATGTCCGAGCAATATTTCAGCTGTGAGTTGGGAGCCAGCTATAATTTAATCAGTTAAACCTTTGAGGATGTGTTAAAGCACCAGGTTTATTACTGTGTCTGGATGGCGCTGCTGCTGATGGTGTCATGTGATGCTGTGAAGAACATCTAGAATTGGATTTGATTTTAATTGGATCTGAGCGCACACATGCTCACCCTTTCTTGACAACAACCACGATGGCTCCCAGCAGGAGGATGAGAACAACCAACCCCCCGGCACAGGTCCCCAGGATCAGCCCCATGTCCTCGGCATGCTGGGACACCTCCAGAGCTCGCTTATGGTCCTTACAGGCCTCTGAGAGTGGAAAGACAAACAGCAAATGAATGAATGAAAGTGAGAGAAAGACAAATGGCTTCATATCATTTAGCTAAATGTCGGTGGTACAGTAAGACAACACAAATAAGAATCTACTCAAATATTATTTCAACATAATGCTGCTAATTAGGGCTGTGTGAAATATCAAATTTAAATCTATTTAATATTATGTTGGCATAATCATAAAAATATCAAAATAATGTTTTACTAGTAATTATGTTTTCTATAGACAATGTAAAAGTATGAAAGTGGTGAGAGCCTGTGTGGCCTTTTCCATTTTAAAATGGTTTAGAAAAAATTTATGTAAATAAATTCTGTCTTCATTATTTTAGTTACGTTTTACTGTACATTATTTATACAGCTCTGGAAAAAAATTAAGACTACTCCTTTTTTTTTCCTTAAATCAGCATCTCTACATGTATGGCAGCCATTCCACCTCATTCTGTTTAATGAAGTACTGATCAGGTGATCAACTCAACTAAATCTTATTTAACGAGGAAAAGTATAAAAACCACTGCTGTGCTCATCACTATCCTCTTGCAATAGGACCAGCTGGATGGCAAAAACAGTGCTAGTACTACCTCAAAAGTAACTGGAATTGGCAGAGGGATACAGTGAGCATCAGGTCGCTTCCACCCTTAAAATTGAAAAGACAGCGGTTCATAAGAACAAGGTCAAGCTGCAGACACTGGGGACAACAAAGCTACAGACCAGCAGAGAGTGAAAACGACTCAGCCAACTCATTCGAATGTCACTCAACAATTGTAGGATGACATCAATTGACCTACAGACCTACAGAATGGCAAACGGCAGCTGGGGTGAAGTGCTCGGCGAGGACAGTTTGAAACAGTTGGTCCTGGGGGCAAAGCTAGAAAAAATGCTTCATCAATGAGAAGCAAAGAAGAGCCAGGCTGAGGTTTGTAAAAGAGCATAATGATTGGACCGTAGAGGACTGGAGTAAGCTCATCTTCTCTGATGAGTCAGTTTTCAGATTTACCCAACACCTGATGGTCTAATGGTTAGACGGAGACCTGGAGAGGCTTAGAAGCCACCCACTGTAAAATTTGGTTGAGGATCGGTGATGATCTGGGGGTGCTTCAGCAAGGCTGGAATCGGGCACCTTTGTCTTAGTGAAGGACGCATGAATCAAGTCATGTACAAGGTTGTTCTGGAAGAAAACTGGTTCTGGTTCCTCCTCTCTCTCTCTCTCTCTATCTCTCTCTCTCTCTCTCTATATATATATGTATATATATATATATATATATATATGATAAAAACATAATTTCTATATAATAAAAAAACACCATCTCAAAGCAAATACATTTTAATTCAAATATATATTTAATCATCGTCCATACCGTGAAAATATTGAGATATAATTTGCCCAGTTAAAGCCCTAATACTCCAGCACAGTGTCAGACTCTGTTCCATGTTTTGTCTGGTTCGTCTCCCTTGGTTCCTTGGTGCAAATAAAGTCCTGTCAACATATTCTCCAGCGTCTCCTCGTCCCTCGTGTGTGTGCAACGTGACACACAGTGCATTATCTCAAGCAGCAGATGAGAATTAGAAGATTAGAACAGAGGTCAGGTGATGCTGGCAATGCACGGCTGCATGTTAATCTGCTGAAGGTATCACAGCGCTTGGAGGGAGATGAAGAACCAGTTTATCAGCATCAAGCAGCACATGAATTAGCCACAGGGGAAGAAGCTCAACCCGGGGTGCCCTTGGAGTGAGAGCAGACCGGGTCTTGGGCAAATTGGGGTCAGGTCAGCGATGCACAGGTGCTCGTTTCTAGTTAGATTATCAGAGGTCCAGCTCCCAAAGCTGAGCATATCGGATAGACATTAGAACTTTCAAAACCCACCTTTTACAGCCAACTTTCTCTCCTTTCCCAAATATTTTTTTATGCCATATGAGCTTCCTGTTCCTTGAAAATAACACAGATTTAGCCAAAATCGACACCATTTCAGCTCTAAAATGATATGGGAACAGGCTAGAACATGCAGTGCTGACACTCTAGTGTCTTAAAATCAACACATTTTAGAAAGTTTGCCCACTCTGAGAAATAACTGAGTTGAACGTCTCATTCCAAACAAGTTTGGCAAGAGCAACAGTTATTTTTTATTCAGTCCAGTTCGGAAAGAAACAGCCTGCACATACAGAACCGGATCTGGCGACATTTCAGTCCAGCATTTGATCACTTGAGAGTCCATTGATGACAGCTGCACCCACTGGTCGCAAACTTGAGGAAGAAAGTCACGGACTAAACCTGGCAGCCATTTTGAACATGCTCCTCCAGTTTTGTGGGTCTCAGTGTCTCCATTTTCTCTCTGTAAATGCAGTCAATTTCCAAACAGCAGAGCAGCATTAAATCTCTTTCTCTCGATTAATTTAAGCCCCTGTGGTGCTTCCAAAAACAGAAATTGCCATTCGAAAAATCACAGGGATGGAAGTGCATCATTATGCCATCTGCTGTAGGGACATTAATTACAATATCATTGATGAAATAAATACCTAAATAATAGAATTTGACGGATAAAACAAGGAGGATAAAGGGACATTCTGCTGGTGGAATACCACAGGATGGTATAGTACAGGGGTGGCGAACTCCGAACTCTGCAGGGCTGCGGCTCTCCAGGACCGACATTCGCCACCCCTGGTATAGTATGTTCAGCAGTAGCAATACAATATTTTTGCAGCATGTACTTCAATTCTTTAATTGCTTTATGAATGGTCCTGGAGAGCCGCAGCCCTGCAGAGTTCAGCTCCAACCCTAATTAAAACTCCCCTGCCTGTAGCTTCCTAGTAACCGTTCAGACCTTGATTAGCTTGTTCAGTTGTGTTTGATTAGGGTTGAAGCAAAACTCTGCAGGGCTGCGGCTCTCCAGGACCGACGTTCGCCACCCCTGGTATAGTATGTTCAGCAGTAGCAATACAATATTTTTGCAACATGTACTTCAATTCTTTAATTGCTTTATGAATATGAAATTGCAAGCTAATTATCAGAATAATGTCATAATTATCAGTAATTACTACTTTCATAAAATAGCCACTTACTCAGCCGCTAACAGTACAAAGCAACAGCCTTGAACTAAAGCTTGAATTTTATTTTTACTCCATAGCATTTTGACATTTTGTACATTTGTGCTGTTTTTTTTTTTTTGTTTTTTTTTTACATTTCTTCACATAGCAGTAAGAGTTCAGAGACTTTCAAAGCCTTCCTTCAAACAAATCTGCATCATATGCACACTTGCAAAGCCTACTCAAAACGAGGTTTCGGTAACTTCCTATAAAACCTGTATTTATAATGCATTATAAGGGTATTCTCATTGTTTATAATAAATATATAATGCCTTATAAACAACCTTATAATATGTTGTTGTCACGGTCATTGGCTGGTGTTCCCTGGATGGCCACCAGAGGACATTGTCTTAGTTTGAGCACATGGCTTGTTGTGCGTTTGTTGGTGCCATGTGCTCTCCTGTCTATTGTCTTACCCCGCCAATCTTGATATCTCATTGTTTCAGTTGCTCCACCTGTGTCTCCCTCGTTACCCTCCTCGTGTGTCTCCCTATTTATTCTCCTTGTGTCTGCAGTCCTGTGCTGGTTGGTTGTAAATTTTCAGATGTATTTGTCACATGTGTTTGAGTTTACCCGTGTTGCTGATCCTGCCTTGCTTTGTTGTGCCTTCTTCCTGGCCTGCCTGCTTGTTTTTCCCCCTCGGGGTAGTTTTTTTTTTTTTTTTTTTTAGTTTTATTTATTATTAAATGAAGCCCAATTCTTCCTGCATCTTGAGTCTTCGCCTCATCCCTCACCTGACCCGTCACAGTTGTATTGTCTCATGAATAATCGTAACAGTAATAATACTTACCTATTTGTGGTAAAAATGTTAATAGCAAATCAAAAATGGTCAGAGCAAATGTGTCATAACCCATGCATGATATTATATGGCTGTTGAAAAGAGACAACTCATAAGATTTAGTACAATACTATGCAGATCGTAAACAATGTCATGATGAAAGTAAAAGATATGAAACTATGGGATATATAACCCATTATAACTTAAGTTGGTAAAATTATGTTCATTGTGTGTTATAAATCACCATACTCTTAGTAGTAATAAGCACAAATAGGTATGGGATCCATGAACCATCATGGGGAACACCTGGGACAAATTAAACATGGGAAAGGAACACCTGGGGAGCAAGACACAGACAAAACATGGAACAGAGTCTGACATAAGTATTATTACTGTTATGATTATTCATGAGATATTACAACACATTATAAGTTTTTGTTTGTTTGTTTTATAATGCAGGCATAATGCATTAAGAATACACTTATGATGCATTATACATGCAGACTTTCTGGTATTATAATGAATCATACTCTTAAAAGTTATAACCACAAATAGGTCAAAATTATAATGTATTTTAAGTGTTCTTGTGATTATTTATCAGACGATACAGCATTATAAAGTTGTTTATAAAGCATTATGCCTGCATTATAATGCATTAAGTATACTTTTATAATGCATTATAAATACAGGCTTCATAGAAAGTGTTCCCAAGGTGTCTTTCTAAGCTTTCTCATTAGCCAAATCTGAAGGCAGCATGGCATATATCTGTCACGGTCGGTGGTAGTGTGAGGAGCGTGGAACGAGGAACGAGGAGACCAGGAGTACGAACCAAAGGGATTTATTCTTGTCACAGGGAATCACACGTGGCACGAGGAGAAGACATCAACATACAATTCCAGACAAGGGAGAACTGAACGGGCTAGAACTAAATAGGGTAGATAACGGGAGCAGACAGGTGATGGGGATAACTAATAAAAAGGAACAGGTGATACTAATAATGTGAAAAGGAACTGGAAGGACCAAATAAGGAAAACAGGAACTCAACGGGAACATACACGTGACAGATCGCCCCCCTCCCGGACGGCACGTCCCGCGCCGTAACAGTACCATCGGGGAGGGG